TTCACGGCATGATAGTTGTTCAGCATTAATCAAAGTAAAAAATATTACTCTATTATTAAAGAAAAATGTGTTTTTTTTTTATTCAGATTTTACCAGATAATAAGGATATATTTGTATCACATGCTACTTGGGATGATTATAGCTCAATGTTAAAAGTATTCAAACGTTACACAATGCCATTGAAACGAACACCAGCTGCCAACAGTTGGAGTCGTCAATTTCAATCTTCTATTATTTTTTTTTCTTTTTTCTAGGTGTCGTTATTCCAGGTTCTGATACAATTTTTTCATCTTATCCAGGAACACTTCACTCAATTGGTTAGATTTCTTATTCAATTATAGATCTAAAAGGTTCTTTTTTATTTCGTAGATGATTTTTATATGACGGGCCCAGCAAATTTAACAGTAATTGAAACAACCATTGATAATTATAATGAAGATTTATATCGTAACATTAATCCAATATCTGTCCCCGAATGGATGCGAGTCGTAGTTGCTAATCGTCTAGCTACTTCTGGTAAAGAATGGGTCGACAAATTTTTCATTTTCAATGATGGAACATATAATAATGAATGGATGATTACAGACTTTAAACAATTTACACCAGGAACACCGCCAAAACCTGGGTAAAACAAAATAAAATATAATAAAATTTGAATGTTTCTTTTCTATTCGATAGATTTTTAACAGTTGCCGAACAAATGACTACCTATTATGAATTAGCAGATATGACAGAAATGTTAAATAATAAGAGTTATTGGGCATCATACAATAATATTTATTTTCCAGATTTTCGTAATATATCCGGTGAAGAAGCAATGGTTAAGGAAAAAGGGCCAGCATTATATTCATGGCAAAATTCATCACGTGCAAAAATATTTCGACGTGATCATGGTAAAGTTATCGATCTTTCAACTATGATTCATATGACGAGGTTAATTTTAAAAAATTTCGTTTGCGTAAATAGATTTTCTTTATCTAAACCATAGATATAATGATTTTAAACATGATGAGTTATCGAAATGTAATTGTACTCCACCATATTCAGCGATATTAACAATTGCTGCACGCTGCGATCTCAATGATATCAATGGAACATATCCAGATGAACCATTAGGACATCGTTGTGGTGGTGCTACAGATGCTAAAGTAAGGATTAGGAGTGGATCAGCTCCCAGAGCAAAGTTACTCCTAGTAAGAATCAATATTTCTGAAGAAAGGATATTAACGTAAAAGAGAAATTCTTGTTATAAATGAGCAGATTTCAGTAATAACTTTCGTGAAGTCAACATATGACGATCTTTATCCTAGTTCTTTGATAATCGACTTTTACTTCTTCTCTTTAAAGATTACTAGCTACGAATTAATGCAACATCTTTCACTTGTTGCTGTTGCTGGTCCAACAACGGATCAACAAGTACCATTTATTTGGAGTCAATCAGATTTTGATAAACACGTAGCTCATATTGGTCATCCAGATAAATGGGATTTTAAACCATTTACACCAACATGGATATTATCGTAAACTAATTTCGTGATAAACAATCATACTTTTTTTTCTATCGATGAGTCTTTCTTTTAATAATAAATAAACAAATATTGATGAAGTGTTTAATTTGTTTACTGAGAAAATTATCGAATAGCAAAGATTTCTATATAATTTCGAAAAATCATAAGAATACTTTATTTATATACCAATTTGATTCTATATTGATGTTCATGTTGATCCTGTTATATTATACAAGTAACGCTCGCTGCTACAACTCGCCTCGGTATGTATTGATTTGATAGAAGGAAAAAATGTCGAAAAACAATGACCGAAAAAAATGGTGTGGATGTTGCTGCGTATTCTATTCGTCCACATCCACACTTACACCCACCACAGTTACAACATCAAAAAAGCATACATTTTCGGAAATATAATCAGCAGTACATCGTCATATGAAAGAAAAAGAACATGATATTGATTGGAAAAATTGTTCTGTAATTAGTAGAGACAGACACTCATATCGTCTTCTCATAAGGCAATTCCTAGCTATCGCTGAGCTCTCACCAGCTCTTAATGCTACAACTAGATCTGCCCCCCTAGAGAATGTACTGAGTTAAGGGTATCCGAAAAAGTACCCTGTTACCAGTATGTCACAGGAACTTTTGTGTACCAAAGTACTTGGAAGTACTTTCAGGTACCTAAGTGGCACTTTAACAAGTACCCTGCTACAAAATGTCTAGTAACTGAGTACTTGAAGGTACTGATCAGATACTCAATTGGGTACTATTGTATAGTATTCCTAGGTACCCTGTTACAAAAATATCAGTATGTTCAGGATCGAACCTGACCTTTAACTTTTTAAATTTTTGTTTCTCTCAAAGCAATTTACTATAATTTTTTTTCGATTTTATTCAATTTAATTTTTTCAATTCCGAAAAACTTAGCAGGTACAATGCCGGGGTCTGACCGGACTTGAGTTGGTCAGGTATCCATCAGATCTCTTCGAAGTAGTCCGCTCTTAATCTACGATCAAGATCAGAATGTTCTCGACTAAGAAATAGTCAAGAAATAATCTAGAAAAAATTAGTATGAAAATAGATTCATTTCTTATGTCTTACCCCGTTATTTATATGGAGCCGCGCCTGAAAAAGAAAACGGCGAATGAATAGTCGCTACACAGAACGCGACAAATATAGGGTACCCTGTATAGCTTGCCTTAGTACAATTACAGATGCGAGTATCCATACAAGTACTTGTTAAGTGAGCGTACTTTTATGGGAACCACACGTAGTACCTACATCAGTATAATTACTGAGAATTTTCGAAGTACCCATATTGAGTAACCTGCTAGGCCTTTCTCAGTACATGGGTACCCTGAACTCAGTACTTTCTCTAGGGTATTGCATAAAGACATTCTATTGAACCATTACATAATACTTGAATATGATCACGTGCAGTTTTTTTATATATATTTTTTTTTGTTTGTATTTGATGATCATTTGTCATTAATTTTTGATTGTTTTATATCAAATTTATAACGTATGACAAATGGACCACTTAAAACAAATGTCATTATAACAAGTAAAAAAAACAATATTTGAATAAGCTATTATTACACAAAGTATAGAATCAGTTAAAGCTCCTGAAAGTGTAAATGAACCATGTCTATATATATAAAATAGAAGTTACGTTTGTTGATTTTTTTCTTTAAATATTCGAAAAAAGAAAAAGGACAGAAGCAAATAAAAAGACAACAAAAAGATTTACAGCAATACAAGACAAGAGAAGTTAAACAAAAAAAGAAAAAGAAAAAATTAAAGATATATGTTTCAAATTTTTTATTTTTGACAAATTCAATTTGATCGTGAAGAGCGTCTTTTTTTGTTCATAAAGGAATTAGAAAATAAAAAGACACACGACAAAAGAAAGTCCATTTACTTGCTACCACAACATTCACCTGTTACTGATTGACTTTCATTACCATGCCCTAGTTCACCACTTCGATTTGATGTATCTTGAGTTTTGGTAATTTTCTTGCTATGGCCATAAATATATCATTAACATTCATTGATGTTTTAGCTGATGTTTCCATAAATATTAAACCATTTTCTTCTGCATATGTTTGAGCATCAGCAACTTCAACTTGTCGTGTAGTAGTAGCTAAATCAACTTTATTACCAGCTAAAGCAATAATAATATTTGATGCTGCTTGATGTTGTAATTCTTTAACCCATACTTTAGCTCGACTAAATGTATCTGCATTTGTTATATCATAAACAACAATTGCAGCGTGAGCACCACGATAATACATTGGAGCTAATGAATGATATCTAACAATGAAAGACAATAAAAAAAAGAAAAAGAAAATCAATTTAATTTACTTTTCTCGTCCAGCTGTATCCCATAATTCAAGTTTAACTGTTATATCACCAATAGATACAGTTTGTGTAAGATATGCTCCACCTATAGTTGATACTTCATATTCATGAAATTTTCCTTCGACAAAACGAAGTACCAAGGATGATTTACCAACAGCTGATTCACCCAATAGAACCATTTTAAATGGACATATTCCTGCTGGTTGACCAGTAGCTGATGAATGATTATTGCTCGTCATATTTATTTTAAATGGAAAATTAAATATAAGAGAATGGGAAGAAATAATATATCTAAAATTAAAATTAATTAATTAGACGATTCAAAAAAAAAGAGTATGAAAACAATCATACAACGACAAAACAGCCATGATAGACAAGTGCATATGTGCATCTCTAACGAAGTGATCTTTTTTTTGTATTCAAAACATTTAGTAACATCTGTTTCGATGAAGATTGGATAATAGAAAAAAGTTTTATATGTATTAGTAAATAGATTTGATTTAAAAATTTAATAAAAATAAAAAAAGAAACTATTTTAATATTGGATAATTTATATAATAAATTTTCAATCAATCATAGTCACGAGAAAAGAAATGATAAGACACACCAGCTGATGTTATCCTACGCTTTATTCATAAAAGAGTTCGTACTCTTATTGAGATTTGGCTGAGATATCAGATTTTTAGTTGATTTTTCCTGTAGGAAGTTAGTTTTAAAGCAAAATCATATCTTCAAATTTCGATCTGAACCTTTGTCAACATGAGCATCTTGTTAATACTTAGCTCATACATAAAGTTTCATCATTTTTAGAAATTGCATTTCTGAAATATGAATATTCCAAAATATCCATGTTTTACACTACACCTGTAGAAAAGTGCCTGTTTTTTTTTTTT